ATGTCCAACGCCTTACTCTAGACTCTTCACCATTATCGATCGATAAATTACTTCTACTAGTATTATGATTAGACTGAGGTGAGGATAATATATCACCAACAGAAAGTCTTGATTGTACTTGTATATTACGTGCAACACGTCGACCACGACGAATAGCTTTTAGGTATTTTGCCCATCGGAAATGTGGAAAAGTTTGAGTTGAAGATTCACCTTCATTTTGAGTAGTAGTAGTGACATCAGAATCTATTGCTTCGCTTAAAATACCAACCGAACCTAATGATAATGATGATCTGGAAGCAACATCATTTATAGTTGTTACAGAATTAATCTTCCAAGAAGTATAATCAGCTTTGCACATTGGACACAACGGAGAAATATCAAGAAGCCACGGATCAATGCATGTACTTTATAAAAATAAATAAGTTAATGAATGAAATAAATTGAAAGTTGAAACATAAAAAATAAATAAATAAATTTTTAAATGAGGACTCACATATGATATTGATGATGGCATGGTAAGATTCTTAATTCTTCACCAGATTCAAAATCACCCAAACAAATCGGACAAGTCAATTGATCATCAGTTATGGGAGAAGAAATTTCAGGGGAAAGAGTAGAATCATTATTAACTATAATAACGATATCATCAAAATTCTCATCTATTGGAGATAATCTTCTGATTTTATCTACAGTAATATTGTCAGGATCAGATTCCGAATTTTCCGAATCCAAATTTGAAATATTTTCTTCTTTTTCAGAGTTTTCAGAGTTTTTAGGATCAGTATTATTTCGTAAAGAAAAGAAATAAACAGGAAAGCTTTCCAACACGGCTTTAGTTATACCATGTTTTGAATTACTATTATCTTGGTCTTGATTATCAATAGGAGGCCTAAGCCTACTCCTTATTATGTTTACAAAGACCACAATAAAAAATAAACCTAAAACAACACCAGATACAGTATATAATACGATCATTGCAATTTGATAACCTTGGGACATCTCAGCAGCTACATTGGTTGGTGTAGAACTATCAATCTTTATAGTTGCCTCGAGACCAGGAAAGGTCATATTTGAATCGATTTTATTAGAATGACAATCATTGTTTACTTCGTTAAATAAGGGAACTATAATGTCACTTGAGGTAAATTGACAAGGTTTACCGTCATAATTTAATATTATAGCAACAGTATTATTACTACCTTGGGCGGAAATAATGTTAAGTGTATAATTTCTATCACATTTAATATATACTATTAAAGGTTCGCCAAGTGGAGAAGTTGGAGGCCACCAAATTAACGAACCCTGAAAATAAAGAAATATTATTAATTAGTATAACGTGTAAAATATATATAATATATAACTCACATAATGTTGCTAGCCAAAGCCCTTTTTGGTTAATTCGAAACTATTATTTTAGGAGAGAGTTTCAGCAAGTAACATTAAGACCAAAACTTTTTTTATGGATATTATGAACATACGTTAAACTCTTTTTGTGAAGAAGGATTGGATAGACAATTTAATTTACATTTTATCGAAGTTATCGAAGAATTCTTTATGGACATGGTATAATTTTGTGATGTATCGCGTTTAATTATATAATCATCATTTTGTAAAGTTTGTAAAG